CTTTTGAAGTTTTATGAAGAAATTTTCAGTCATATAAACATACGTTAACAACATTAGGTGTTAAAAGTAAACATTAATTCAAGTTACGGTTTTTTGCGTCATTGTAGGTGTTTAATCAACAAATACAAAGTTCTTTTTCTTCCATAAAGTTTATTTTATTATATATTTTTGCTTTGAAATGTCAAGTAAATATAAAGTTTTTGCAAAGATAAAATATTATCAAGGCCTTTTGATATGGATGTTGTACAACCACTTATAAGAGAATTGAAACGTTAAATATTCAATTCGTAATTAATGAGCAGATTCATTTCCACTGGCAGCACCCGTTCACGAGCATAACGCATGAACCAGCTATAGTTTCCCATATAATCATAATCAAAATCATTTATTCAGTTTAGGCTGTTATAATCAGTCATGAATGTCTAAAAGCTACGCCATCGGTTCGTCAATTTACGGCTGCAGACCTTGTACTGAAGAGAACCGGCAAGAAATTCCGCAAGGGCTATTTTTTTCTCCCTGTTTTATTATTTACAGCGTCAAGTTGAAAAATGACTTTAGAGATGATTCATAAAGTCACCTTTTATTGCATAATAGGGATGATGACTATTTTTTTTCTTCGTTTATCAGGTAGATTATCAAAAAGTATTGGACACGTATTTTTTCTTTTTTCACATAATATAAACATTGCAGAGATATATTGATTTGAAAAGTCACATGACGTCACGTTTTAGTACACTTTTATGTGAAAATTCACTAAAAAGTGACGTCACGAGCCCCTACTTCCAAGCTTTGACGCGCTATAACTTTGTCATTTTTTGATTGATTGGTCAAAGAAAAAATATGTGTTCATTATTTTTTGATCATCTAACTGACGGACTAAATAGAATTTCGTTTACTGTACCCCGTAATCACCCATATTGTAAAATATACATTAATTGTTCACCTGCATTTTGATTGGTGTGTCATATAGTATAAATACCAATAGTGTTATTTATAATAGGTGTAACTATACATTAACAGCTTCAATAAAAAAAGTAGCTAGGGTAGACTCATCTCCGCTGGCAGCACCCGTTCACGAGCATAATGTGTGAACCAGCCATCGCTTCACTCAACCATATTTTAGGGAACGTAACGACCCGCCTCAAACGACACCACCGAAAAGACTTAAGAGAGCATGATTACCCATAACCATCTATACTAAACTACAACATATTTACTTAAAATTAAGGTAAAGTAACGTCTCGCCTCACACAACACCACCGCCGAAATTTTTAAAGAGATCATGACTATTCATATGTTACTTGAACTACCATAACGTGTTTAAGGGAGGTAGGGCACATTGGATCTTCCATTCGTTTTTTTATGTTTAATAGGCAAAGCCTTTGGCCAAAATCTCGCCTGATGGAAAGCAATGATGAGACCTAGGATGGTACACGCCTGCCTAGAAGATGCCTGTTCACTCTGGCCTTGAAGATGTCCAGATTATATTGGTCTGGGAAAACAGACCTCTGAAAGGAGTTCCATAGCCGTTCGCATAATGAAAGCGGAAGCAAATCGCTTTGTGCGAATGGGACGAACTTGGACAACATAAGGGTGAAAGCCCTCGCCGCCCTAAGATTTGGAGCGCCCGTCTGGGGAAGCAACCTACACCTTACAGAAGACTACAGTAAAATAACAGTATACAGTTTTGGTGGTGTTGTGTTTCTGCCGGTGAGTAGAGTTCCAGAGCTTCGTGAAGTAGGGGATTGTATTCAGGCCGGCAAGGTGAGGATGGCTGGAGCAGCACACTTTCTGCCGCATCATCGATCTTCGCGACTGAACTCCACCTACACTTAACATCAGGAGGGGTGGGGTAATTTTCTGCGCCTCGTATAGCAAAAGCTTAATAGTCATCATCATCATCAGCCTATTAATGTCCCCACTGCTGGGGCACAGGCCTTCCCTATGGATGGGTTAGGGAGATTGGGCCGTGACCCACCACGCGGGCCCAGTGCGGGTTGGTGGGTGCTAACGACTGCAGATGCAGCTGGGACCAACGGCTTAACGTGCTTTCCGAAGCACGGAGGAGCTCGTGATGGTAAATTTTTGGTCACCCATCCAATGACTGACCACTGCGAAAGTTGCTCAACTTCGACGATTGCAGCCGAACGCGCTAACCACTGGTGCCATCGAGCTCCTCCTTAACTTAATAGTATTATGTTACAATATTATAAACGCTAGTGAGGCGACGACAAAGTGATTGTTACGGGACAAGTTTTAATGGTTGGTGTGAGTGCTTCAGATAATTTTCGTGTAATTTTGTATTCATATCTTTTATTACTTTGAACTGTGATTTCTATATTATATTTATTCACCCTTTTTTTCAAAATCTTTTTCTTTTTGTGAAAACCTGTAATTTACCGACTGCGAACATATATATTAACAATTTTTTTGGGTTTTAATAGCTGTTGTTATTTAAATATTAAATTAATAAATATTTGAAGACCACTATGTCCAATGTTTATTTATAATTGAAAAGCTTTTGTTTCTAAAAACATCAAAAGAGCTTTATGGCTATAGCGACTTAAAAGTTGAGTGAACCCGCATTTGTTTGCATGGTTCGTTAAACGCTCATTACACACATCAATTCGTGCTCAAACACACAAAGAGAATAATCGCAAAGCAATTATCATAAAAACCATTGGAATATTCACTGACCCCGTTATGCTTAGTTAGTTTAGAATGTATTATTGCGTAATTATGTTGGCTCTTGTAATTTATCTATTTTATTTTAGTAATTTTATCAAAAGATTCATTGATATCTAAATATACAATAAGTCTTTTGATAAAATTACTCTTTCAGTTATGTCTGTTTTAAAATATTTATTTAATTAGTTGGTTCCCGCGACTTCCTCCGCGTGGAAATATTTTATTTTATTTGGGAAATTTACAATTTATAAACTAAGATCAGTCACATGCTTATAATAAATTTCCACATATAACACTTACATAAATATCTTTTATATATTTTGGTTTCCTATACAAACTTTGAACCCCTGTTTTATCCCTTTAGGACATCAGTTTTGGAAAATCCTTAAGCGCACGCCTACATCATAATAGCTATATTTGTACCAAAATTCAGCGCAATCCGTTCAGTGGTTTGAACTGTGCGTCGATGGATCATTCGGTCAGTAGCGGTTGCTTTTAATATAAAGGTACGTACAATAAAAAACGCTACGCTACGACTATAGGAGCAGAGCGCCAATGAAAAGAAAATGTTAAAACAACGGTTAACAAAAAAATATTCCGTTTTTGAGCTTCCGTTGCGTGCGCTGCGTAAACAGTATAAGTTAGACTTAATCATATAAATGACAGAGTTGTTCCCCTTTAAAAGTGCTATAAAAAAGTCGGGACAGCAATATATCTTTTAAGGGTGTCCGACTATAACTTTTTTCTCCAAATTGATCCGGGTGAAACCGCGGGACACCACTAGTATAAAATAATTTTAATCGCTATCACTAGCTTTTGTTCCAAGCCACTAGGGCTACGTGATTGTCATTGTTACACAATAGATGTGTTTCCGTTGTATTTGATGTATTTATTTACCCAACCTTTATAATTTACTCTTAGAGATTTGGGTTTAAACAACGATTCAAAATTATTCAGTGCGGTATTGTACTTGGATAAAATTATAAGACGCACCATTTGATATTCATATATTATATACAAGAAAACAACAAAGAACCTATTGCAGAAATTTTACATCATTATAACCAAATTTGAACTCTGCCCTTGACGGATATGTTAGGTGAAACTTCATTTCAAACGGGGTGTAAATGGAAAAATCCTATGGAAAATATGAAATGGAAATGCGTCACGCTCGGGAATCTCTTCTATCTTGGATAGGTAGGGGTGCGAAAAAGGTTTTCTTTCCTCGGGCTGCTTTTCACAAGGGTGCGTCCTTGCACCGGTCACGTCGCAGGGTCAGAACGTTGCGACGCGGCCCTCAGCGCGGTCTGCCAAGCCGGGTGAGACCCCCTGAGGGGAGGCCCAGCTCGCGCCAGTATTGCAGGGTTTCCGACATCAGAGGGGGAGGTCCCGTTCGTTGGGAACAGTCCTCACTTGGCGGAATAACGCTGCTGGAGCAGTGGCGGAATAACGCTGCTAAAGCAGTGGCGGACTGTGGGCCTCCCCCTTGGGGAACCCCGGCTGGGCAACGGGGGCGGCGAAGGGGAGGGTGGTTTGTGTGGCGCGCTGTTTGTATGAATAATTTGCACCGCCTATTATTAGCGGCGTGACGTTTGCCGCAATTTCCGCAAGTTGGTGGTGTGGAGTTGGAGCTTGGGCAGTCGGAAGCGGAGTGATCACCTTCACATCTGACACACTCCTTTGGGTGGTGGCAATTAAGAGAGCTGTGTCCAAAAGCCTGGCACCGATGGTAATGGGCTGGTCCAGCTCTTGGCTTCCAGGAGGTGGTATGCGTTACGAGCGTCACATATATATATATCGTATATAACGAACACACATATAATATATATATACATACATATATATATGTGTGTTCGTTTGTGTGGTATGCATACAGAGCTCTTCCCGACGAGCATGAAAGTTGGAGGGTAACTAAGCGGAGGCTGAAACGCTACGAGCATGACGACGAGGCGGGCAGGCCATACGTTTGTTTACATATATATATTAAGACACTTGTAATACCAAAAAATCGCTCGCACTGTTGCCTACTCTGACCCTGTCTATTACCCCGTGAATCCATGGAACATTACTCATCGCCAAAACATAACAGCAACAAAAGGCAACGGTTGTTTAGTGCTATCTTTGTAATTTAATTGAATTAAAAATTATGAATTAATCGTTCGTTCAATGTGCAGTTCTAAAACTCATGTGTCAATTTACTAAATCGCAGCAAACTTACGAGAGCAACGGCACGCCAAACTAATGGAGTTTACACTTCAAACACAACTCATAAAGGTCCCAGTAACTAATGATACAATATTTGCATATTCCAGAGACGAACAAGGGGGACATAACTCATGTTACCGCAGTATGCAAGCACACACGGAGCCATGGAGCTGTCAGTTGCGGCGCTAGGATGAAACATTATCCCAGAGCTACCAGCCTTAGAAACCGCACTACACTACAACAACCGTCTAAATTAACTCGACGACAGCCATGACAAGAATAAATCTGGTTAGTATTTTACAATTATCTGTATGTGACATATCTGTAAGACGTGACATGAAAACAAAAATTACATTTTATTACAGTGAAATGCGGATAATATTCAGACGACAAGAAATAAAAAGGACATAACGACATACTGTTCAAAACGTAATTTTTGGCGGGGGGAAAATGCACACAAACGCAGTTTAACGTACACGCATATTAAACAAAACTGTAACTGCGACACAAACACATAAACAATGACGTAATACATCGTCAAATCCTATACACATGTATCGTTTGTATGCCCAACTCAACAGAAAAGATAGCTGTGTATGCCTACTCCGCTCTTGGCTGCGTCTCGATCTTGAATCATAATGGTTTTATTTGTTGTATATTTAATTAATTAAAATATAGTTTATGATTAAAAAACAATGTTACATATTTATATAATAAAAAACAGAGATTCGGACCCCCCCTTCCCCGTTTAGTGTCTTTGTTCTTAATATACTTTTTATATATAAATACTATAGGTTCGAGTAACATAATGATAAATTCACATTTATTCCAAAAATAAAAAAATAAAATCCGGAATAAAAATTATGGATCGAAGAAACGATGGAATTATTAATCTTTTTTCAACCTAAATAAGTTTAGACCCATATTAAATGTATAAAAACCGAAAAAAAACTAAATATTCAACAAAAGTATGGTTCATGAAATTAAAACAAAGGTTATAAAAAAATTAAAGTATGCACGATAGATTAACAAGTTACTTTATATTAAAACACACAGACAATAATACTAAAAACAGTATAATAATCATTAGGTAGGTACAGTTGTATTCCTTTTAAAATAATTTCAGCAAATATTATTAAATATACCAGAGCTTAATTTCCCTAAACTGTAAATAAAACTGAACCCCAGACAGAGCTAAACTGCTTTCACCGAGTTACTTTAAGCATCACGGAAGCAGCTGAGCTTAGAGCATTTTCCATGCTTTAGTCTAAACAAGTTAAAAAGATTGCGAAATGAGTTGCTTCTCGAAAGGGGAAACAGTGAAAATGTCATTTGAGATTAGATGTATTTTTGTATGACGAAAAATGTTGTTGGTTCCGCATGGAGCCCTCATTATGCATGAGACTTTCGGATTCCAATTTGCTTCGAGTACTTTTTCATAATACGAAGCTGAAGGATTTGCTTAAAAATCTCATTCAACAGACATCTACAAGCTGAATTTATCTTTTGAATCTACTCTCGCTGCTCGCTGTTTATTTGAATGCTGACATTTATACAATATAGGTACTTCATGTCAATCATTTTATTTATTTGAAATGGTATGTCCACAAAAGACTTGTTAGCATCAACTATTTTAATTAAATTAGTGCTTTATAGGAATTGTGAAATAAGTGAGCAGTTTAAGCATTAAATGTAAAGAATATGTTTACTATAATAAAATCCACTCCGTCCAGGTTTTAGAAGGGACGCGAACCCACATCTTCCGCTATCCGGGTGGACGCACGAACCAATTATGTTACCTAGACCTTATTGGCCAATTCGAATTTCCTCATTTTTGTGTACTTATACGATTAGGCGTAGGTTTCTTCTTCAGAAAAATGATTAGGCCTCATTTTTTTTTATTTACATGTAATATTTACTTGTACATTATTATAGTGATTCAAGTGTGAGAGACATACGAGACATTATTGTAACTTAGTAAGGAAGCTTAGTGTGTAATGATCAATACACACGAGCTGAATATGACGTTTTTCAACACAATCGCGTGGAAAAAAAGTTGTGTGTGTCAGCTCCGACGCACGACCGGAGTTTACTCCTTAAGTTCGATAGTCTAACCAGACGCAAAAAGAGTTTATTTAACTTAAAAAAGATTGATACTGTATGAAAGAGTAAATTAACAAATTAATGAAACTAATATTATACATACATAAATATATATTTATTCATTTCCTATACATTTATTATAACTAATCGACGATATATTTTACATTAAACTTATTACAATAGTCAATTTCAGATGTGCATAAATATATCATTAGGAATGTTGATAAATTATGTAATTATTATTATCAGACTATTTATTTTTTTAAATAATAATTAAATCAACATTGTCTGCATTATTAATTACAGTGACAAGTGGTTTATGGTTACTAAAATAAGACACATGGACGTTCGTAGATATGTGGTTCATGAATCTTGAAAATACCGCATCAATGGTTGTACCATACCTCGTTGTCCCCATTGCTCTATCAGAAACAATATCTAAATTCAGTTCAGATTTTAAAAAAAATTATTAATGTCAATCCGTCATCTTTGTTTGTCAAAGTTGCGCGACATAGGATGCGCACCAAAAACGTAACGAGGTCATTCATCGACAGATTTTACTCCTCACATTTTTCTCATACCGGGCCCCTTATATACGCAAATAGATTCTTAAGGAGTAAACTCCAACAAACTTGTATTGTTACTGTTATAAAGTTCAAATGACCTTTGTTGCCAAGTATTCTGACATTCCGGAGCTACCTTCAAAAACTTTTTAAAATCGGTTGGTGACAATACTTTTGACTTTCGACCAATATATCCACCAGATCACATGCCGTGAGATATTGCTAGTAAATTATATACTAAAACCTTCTCAGATAAATACGCATTTATATGCCGAAAACCCCATCCAAATCGGATCCGTAGCTTTGAGATTATCATGGACACATACATACAGGTCAAACTGAGAATATCCTTTTTTTGAAGTCTATTAAAAGACCGACTGTGCAGCCGGAACAGCAGCAATATAATAAATTTTTAATTAAAAACAAAAATTCTATATAAAAAATGTAAAATTAAGCAGGGAGAGTTACAGTTAATTGATAAATTGGAAATTTATTCTGCAAAATATAATAACATTTGTTTTAATTATGAAACAGATACTCAAATTTTACAAAGTAAAATAGGTAAACTGCAAGATTGTCTCTCAAGTGTAACCAAAAATATGAATTAGCACAATGTGAAATGAAGGAACACATGCAGGCAATGAATGAGTTAATTGATTTATGTAATTACAATAATGAAAGATTTAATTCATTAACTAACAATCACACTTGTGATTGCAAACAGTTGGGAACTCAATCATCGCTCAATTGTGACTCCTCCACTTTACAACAAAAGTCTATATCTGTTGATTCCCAACATCAGCCAATTGGTACATACTTAACGCCAGTGAAAGTAACTCACTCAAGAAATGCATCTTTAGGTAATAAAAATAACAATATTATAATGTTTAGTGATGAAATTGGGAAGAATATGGGCCCTTTTTTATCTAAAATGGGACATTCAATAACAAATTACTGTATGCCTGGTACCTCTTATAATGATATTTTAGAAAAGGCAAGTAAGCATAGCTACAGTAAATGCCACACCTTGTTGTTTTTTATAGGAAATAGAGGCAATTTGAATAAAAAGTTATTAATAAAATATGTGACAGATTTAAATGCATTAAATGTGGAAAAAATGTATTATTCACATTGCCTTACTGTAACTGTCTGCCAAAGGAGGAAAATTTGTTATTAAATATGCTTTTGTATACAATTTGTAAAAGCAATAAATATCATTTGATTGACTCCAACAATTATGTTAGAAATTTTTATTTGACGAAAGATAAATAGGTAGCTAAGTCGCTATCATATTTATTTTTTATTTCAGCCAAGAATTTGGCTAAACAATTTGCTCCTATTGAGCAATATTCTATTGACATGACAATCAGTAATTATTCTACTGAAACCACCCAAAATCATAATAAATATTTAAATTAACCAATCAGATGATTCTTATTGCACATTAAATAATAATGTAAATAAAAATAATTGTTTTGTTAATACAGATAAAAAAAAACCATCCAAAAACATTGCAAAAAATGTAAGTTTTATCAACCTGGTGCATCTTAATATTCAAGGAATGATGGGTAAGGACTTAGAAATTGAATTATTCGTGAATTGTAATAATATAGATATTTTTTGTATTACAGAGCACTGGCTTAAAAGTTGTCAGAATATATTTAATTTTAATAATCATCAGGTTGGTAGTTTGTTCAATAGAGAAAATGCAATTCGCGGTGGCTCTTTAATATTATTGAATAAAAAATTAAAATTTAAGGAACGAAGAGATATTGTGAGCCTCTCGGTTGAGCGAACAATAGAAATTGCCTGTGTGGAACTGGACTGGCTTGTTGTATTGAGCGTATACAGACCTCCATCAGCAATGTATGATTATTTTGAAGCTATCATGGATGAAGCTCTTAAGAAAACTTACACTACAGGCAAACAATTGATTGTCTGTGGTGACTTCAATATTGATTTAAAAAAAATATTTCAATCATACTGTACGAGACGACCGCCTTACGACCGAAGCGAAAAGAAATGATCTTACGTCGAAACGAGATTGATTTATAAAATGTATCTATGATTTCACATGTATCGGTTGTATACGCATTAAAAATGATCATTCCTTTGTCGTCTTATTAGAATGAGTCGGATATCACAATAATAGATAGCTTTGCCCATAGTAAACCATTGTAAAATTGATAGTTCAGAGCGATATTCCGTCTCGTTCTCTCCAACAATCTTATAAGAATTTGTCTAAACGATCGCCACGACGCCAAGCGGTGGCGCAGGGAAACTAGTTAGAATATTGATAGTTCCGACCTATAGGAGGGACAGAGATGATAGGCTGTCCTTGTCTCACATCTTATAAGATTTTGCCTGAGTTGATAGTTTTCGATAATAGTATGTTTTATGTTTTGATTGATTTATTTTATGTCTTATTAGAAAATAGGTAGTTATAAGAGTAATATGTCAAAGTCTTGTATAAATCGTGTTAGTAGTTTAGGCGTAATTAAGGAAAATATTGGAAATAGTTTTTTACGAATAGTCGATAGGATATAGGTATAATTGTTATGATAATGATGATTTTTTGTGTGTTTTTACTTCTTCTATAAAATGGTATATGATAGTTAGGCA